GTAGTCAAGCTGCCCAGGATCAAATCTTGGTTTCCTAACCTACCAACCCTGTGACCTTGAACAAGTTACTTCTCTTTCAGTTTCTGTATCACGTAAGAGTGCCTGACTCCTAGGGGCATTTATCAGTTGCCCAATAAATTTTTAGCATGGTGCCAATCAATTTTTAGGGCATTATATTTAGTAGGCATCAATTAATAATAACTCATTAGGCTTATCTTGTGATGTTGTTCCCATTTTATATATAAGGAAATTGAGGTTCAGAGTAGTTAAAGAAATTGCCCAGCCAGTAAATGCTAGTGCCTCTGAAAACCAGGTCTTCTGATACTAGACCCCATTTTCCCCGTCAATAAAGTTTGTACATAGTACCTATGAACGTATTACATATTCATCCAATAACAATAAACATATATATACTTTAGAGACAGGACCTTACTTTGTTGCCTAGGCTGGAGTGCAATGGCTCTATCACAGCTTATAGCAGCCTCAATCTCCTGAGTTTAAGGAATCTTCCTGCCTCAGCCTCCCAAGTAACTAGGACTATAGATACATGCCACCACATCTGGCTAATTTTTTCATATATATAAAGAGAGTTTTACTATGTTGCCTAGGTTGGTCTTGAACTCCTGGCTGGCCTCAAGAAATCTTCCTGCTTTGGCCTCCCAAAGTGCTAGGATTATAGGCATGAGCCACTGTGCTCAGCCTCACGCGATAATTGAGTAACCAACAGCAACGAAATGTACTCACAGGAAGATAAGGTATGATCTGGGATGTTGTGTGCTGAGTGCCCAGTGAAGAGAACTGACTGACCATAAACACTACTGAAGTTCAGAGAAGTGAGAACTAGTGTGGTAATGTGTCACCCTGACCCAGGAGAATCTACCCCAGCCTCTTTATAGACAAACTGTGACATGGTTTTGTTATTACATCTCAGAGAATTTTCTGTGCATAGCAGCTTGTCAGTAGCTTAAGTCTTTAGAGTTATCTTTACAATATCTCTGATCGCAGGGTCTGACAGTTCCCCGGAACAGCACACCCTGCAGTGTCTGTGTTGAATGAGCAGGTGAGGCAGCATCTGAGGGCTCAGATTTCCTCATGTGGAGCTCCCCAACCACTCAGTTTTGGGGACTGAGTTCCATCTCAGAAAAGACAGAACTTAATGTTCACCTGGTCACCCTGATACCTCCCCCATTGGTTAATGGGAAAGATATTCACGTTAAGGAATTCTCCCTTTATATAAATGTCACAATCTCTATTCCTTTTACCTTATAATCTCAAGCCCTATCCCCAAAATAAAAATAAAAATCTCCTAGGATTTGGCAATGCTTCGTTTTCTAGATCATTACTTTGCACCTGACCTCCCTAGAGACACAGCACTTTCCCCTTGATTTAGGCTTCTTCTTTCTTTCATGCACAAATATTCCTTTAGCCTATCATTGTGGGATTAAGAAAATGGGATATTTAGGAAAGAAAATCACAATTTGAGAATGGGAGAAGATATTTATTTGTGTGCTATGAATCTCTCAAAGGGCTTATAACTAGAATCTACAGAGAACTAAAATTAATCAATATGAAATGAATAAACAACCCCATTTATGAGTGGGCAAGAGACTTGAACAGAAACTTCTCTGAAGGTGACAGATGCCTGGCTAAGAAACACATAAAAATATTCTCACCATCCCTAATCATCAGAAAAATTAAAATCAAAACCACTGAGAAATTACCTAACCCCAGTGAGAATAGCCCACCTTGCAAATGGAAAGTATAGAGAATTCTCAAAGAACTAAAAGTTGACCTTCCATTTGATCCTGCAATCCTATTACTAGGTATCTAACCAGAAGAAAAATAAATCATTTTACCACAAGGACATTTACACTAGAATGTTTACTGCAGCACAATTCACAGTTGCCAAGATGTGGAAGCAACCCAAGTGCCCATCGACCCATGAAGGAATTAACAAACTGATATATGTATACTGTGGAGTACTATTTAGCCATAAAAGAAGGAGACTTTACATCTTTTATATTTACGTGGATAGAGTTGAAACACATTCTTCTTAGTAAAGTATCACAAGAATGGAAAAACAAGTATCCCATGTACTCAATACTAATATGAAGCCAATATATAAACAACTACACACCCCCATGAAAGAAAAACACAAGTATATTCTGTGAAGGGGAATGGAGAAGAGGGAAAGATGAGGAGGGAGGGTGATTGGTGGGTTCTCACCTCATGTGCACAATTTGAGGGTGTTCAGCATGCCCTTGGATGAAGGGCCCAACTACAACTTGAACTTTACCTTAGAAATGAAAACAATGTAACCTAGACATTTATACCCTCATATTAATCTGAAATTTAAAAAAAGAACAAAGGACGGTGCTTGTGGCTCAGTGAGTAGGGCACTGGCCCCATATACCAAGGGTGGTGGGTTCGAACCCAGGCCTGGCCAAACTGCAACAAAAAGAATAGCTGGGGCTAGGCGCCTGTGGCTTAAGTGGCTAAGGTGCCAGCCACATACACCTAAGGTGGTGGGTTCGAATCCAGCCCGGGCCCACCAAACAACAATGACAGCTGCAACCAAAAAATAGCCAGGCCTTGTGGCGGGTGCCTGTAGTCCCAGCTACTTGGGAGGCTGAGGCAGGAGACTCACTTGAGCCCAGGAGTTGGAGGTTGCTGTGAGCTGTGATGCCATGGCACTCTACCCAGGGGGACAGCTTGAGGCTCTGTCTCAAAAACTAAAAAAAATAGCCAGGCATTGTGGTGGGCATCTGTAGTCCCAGCTACTCAGGAGGCTGAGGCAAGAGAATTGCCTAAGCCCAGGAGTTGGAGGTTGCTGTGAGCTGTGACAACACAGTACTCTACCAAGGGTAACAAGGGCAACAAAGTGAGATTCTGTCTCTAAAAAAAAATAAACAAAAAAGGAAAGAAAAATTAAGATTTGTGCCTGATAGCTGACTTAAACCTAAGATAATCCTATTTAGGACAATACGTCAAACTCTTCAAAGCAAAAAGAAGATGAAATCAAGAGGTATACTCCTTACATCTTAGGGAAACGTCATGGTATGTTTCATTTTCCACCAAGTCAATTAGTAAGACCTCCCCTAGTGACTCTTGGGTTTGGCCACTCAAATGCATTCATTTTTTCTGGGACAGCATGAGCTTGGCAGAACATTGAGAACGAGAGGCTGAGAAAAAAATGCAGTCTTCTGCTTACAGAAGAGATTCAAAGACGTTCTTGCTAACACAGCATAGCTGAAAGGGCTTGTGTATGAATCAACCACAAATGTTAAGTGGGCTGATGAGACTGCAGAGTTTACGAGAACTTCTGATGAAGCCGCATACAAGATGACTATCAGTTATGGTATAAGTGTGGTACAGTCTGTAATTTGCTTGTTTGAGCCTTTTTGTTGTTGTACGTTGCGCTACACTGAAGCCATTTCCAAGCTCTCTTCTTCCTTTTGCTATCAGAATTCCCCCACAGCTTTATGATCAAGAATTTAGGCTTTGTGACAAGAATGTTAAATATTCCTCTGAACTCTACAGACAGCGAAGGCTGCAAGATAGTCATTACGTTTTATTGGCATCTGATTTGAGGAACATGATCCCAGGTCACCTAATTTCCTAATTGTGGATCATTTCCCCCTCACTACAGTCCAACTGGATACTCTCTGAAGTATCCAGGAACCTAGCTGAGAGCAGTATCACAGAAAGATAGACAGCTATGTATATGGGTTGAGCAAAACTTGTCTGTAGGCTCCCAAGACTCTCTTCCTTCTTAGGCCCAGTAGCCCTCTAGAGTCACCAGACTTAGCAAAGAAATATATAGGTGCCTATACTTTATCTCACAATCCTGTTAAGGCCTTTAATAGTTTTACATTAGTCCTGTGCCATCACAGCCTATGTAGGGGGAAAAACTCTGAGATCAGTGATCAAACTTAGAGTAGTAGTTCTTTAAGTCTGGTCCTGGATCATCTACAGAATAACCTGAGGAATATGAAAAATGCAGATTCCTGGATTTCATCCTAGGCTCCCAGAATCAAAAATTCCAGGGGTGGGCCTAAGAATATACATTTCAAATGTCCTCAGATAATTCTGAGACATACTAAGGCAAAACAATTATTTAATGACCTCCGTGTTTTTCCTCTCCCAACTGAATATATATGAAGCTTTCTTCCTACTTGTGAAAAAGGTACTTGCATTTACAGGGACCTCAGTAAATATTTGTTTCCTGAATCCCTTCTTAAAGGAGCTTTGGATTTCAAAAGCAAGAGAGATAGATTTGCGAGGTCCCTTCCCAGTATCACTGAAGAAAGACTGAGGCTGTCTCTAATTGCCTCCACCCAAGGAGAGCCCAACCTGGGGTGGGGAACCTGCAGCCTCAAGGCCATATGTGGCCTCCAGATCCCCAGGTACAGCCCCACCACTGAATCCTTTATTAAAAGGATTTGTTCCATAAACTTTGGATTCAGTGGAAAGGTCAGACTCAAGATCCAGAAGGTGGCTGCTCCTCCAGGCTAGCAGTTAGGAGAGCCTTCTGGGCTGCAGCCCAGCAGAACTGTGTCCAGGACTAGACCCTGTGAGACAAAAAGAATGGCTCTCAGTCACTGTGTGGAGAAGGCTGCAAGGATTTACCCCTTTTCTAAACTACCACTTAAAACCAGAATTTCCCAAATAAAAAAAGGACAACAACAAACAAAAGGAAAAAAACACACAACAGCAAAAAATCCCCCAGAATTTCCCCCAAGATCCATCTCATTGCCCCTAATTCTGCTGCTTACATTTTCCAGCTTTGTCCTATAGTCAGCCGCCAACATCAGTAACCAACTGGGCAAGAGAGCCACCAACATTGATCACCAGCTGAGCAGAAGGGTGTAGAACCTTGCAGACTCAGGATTTGAGTTTGGAAAGACTACAGGCCCCAAAATGCAATTTCGCCTCCCAAAGACTACCATTCCCTACATGCAATGCACCGGGGCGAGCGAAGGGAAAGAGCCCCAAGCCGGGAGGGGCAGGAAAGTTTGCCTTCTAGTTACCCTTTGGCAAAGGACTTATTTATACTATGTAGAGGCCCCGGAGGAAATTTGGTTTTATTTGCAGGAGTGGCCACTCCCTAAATCCAGGCAAGAAAAGGGAGGAGTCTGACCTAATCACGCCCCTTCTCCAGTAAACTTGGGTCGCTCCTGGCTTAGCGGCAGTTTGAAGAGCCAGGAGCCGCTGCACACTCTAAGCTTTCCCCATGGTCTCGGTGAGCAGAGCCGTGTTTGGCGAGCTGCCCTCGGGGGCAGGGACAGTGGAGAAGTTCCAGCTGCAGTCAGACCTGCTCAGCGTGGACATCATATCCTGGGGCTGCACGATCACAGCCCTGCAGGTCAAAGACAGGCAGGGAAGAGCCTCAGACGTGGTGCTCGGCTTTGCAGAGTTGGAAGGTGGGTTGAACTCTGTCCGGGGCTGCGCACACCCGGATCAATCAGGCCGCTCCAACAGGAGGGAAAATCTCCTAGCTTGGACTCAGAGTTGTGTGGCCAACCACTGTCTGGAAAAAACATAAGGAGTGGAAATAGTTCTAGGACGTGGCTTCTGATTATCCATTGAGGCTTTGTCTGAATGAATGTAAAACTGAGTGTAAGATGAAACCCCAGAACCGTGGAGCGACCTTTGAACTGCCTGATCCTTTGAGCAGGCAGGAGAAGGAACAGCCGGCCAGAGGGGGTGTGGCTCCTAGCTCTTCCCCGGCTCCCCTTTGGTAGCAGGAAAAATCAAAGACGCCGTTTAGTACTTCCTTTCTCTTTCTTTTTTTATGTTTATTTTAATTTTAATTTTATTTTATTTGAGGGGGGATAGAGTCTCACTTTGTCACCCTGGGTAGAGTGCCTTAGCGTCATAGCTCACAGCAACCTCCAACTCCTGGGCTCAAGCGATTCTCTTGCTTCAGCCTTCCGAATAACTGGGACTGCAGGTGCCCTCCACAACACCCACCTATTTTTTTCTTTTTTTTGAGACAGAGTCTCAAGCTGTCACCCTCAGTAGTGCCTTGGTGTCACAGCTCACAGCAACCTCCCGTTCTTGGGCTTAAGCGATTCTCTTGCCTCAGCCTCACAAGTAGCTGGGACTACAGGCACCGGCCACAACGCCCAGATGTTTTTCTGTTGCAGTTGTCATTGTTGCTTTAGCTGGCCGGGGCTTGGTGTATGTCCAGGGTGACCAGACGTTCCGCTTTTCAACAATGTGTCCCGCGTCCCGCGGCGTTTTAAAAAAGTCCCGATTTTGGAAAGAATGCACGAACGGACGGGAGAACAAGAAGGGAATATACGGTTTTCAGCCACCATATGGCTATTTCGCCAGAATATGAGTTTTATATTATTTTTGTGAATTTTATAATGTTAAGCTGTAATCATAACACATAATTGCTGAGACGTGATTATCGAGAACTGCTTATCAAAGTTTGCATTGTTGTCAAGCCCTGCCCTGCCCGGTCCCCTGCCCTGCCCCGCCACCCCCCTCCGCTCCCGGCCATGTTGTCCCGCCTTACCGATGTTAAAATCTGGTCACCCTATGTATGTGGCCAGCACCCTACTCACCGAGCTAAGGGCACTGCCATCCTATTTTATTTATTTATTTTTTCTTCAGAGACGAGGTCTCGCGCTTGCTCAGGCTAGTCTCGAACCTGTGAGCTCAGGCAATCCACCTGCCTCTGTCTCCCAGAGTGCTAGCATTACAGGCCTGAGTTTCCTTTTTCCGTTCTCTTTGAGGCCTGGTTGCCTCTGAAATATTCCAGGGGATAAGCTCACTGGGTGCCCGGCCCCCCAACTGCTCAATAACCATGAACTGAACTATCTCAGTGTCTGGGAATGAGGTCTACTAACTAGATGGACTTTTATCCTGTCAGAATCCATGGGTAATTAGGATCATGTATTAATTTATGCATTTAAAAACTCCATTAATTCAGTGAACTCATTCAGCAAAAGGCCCCACTCTCATGAAGCTTGCTGTTTAGCCGTAGAGATAGATTTTAAACCCAATAATTACTTAAATACTAATTACAATTGCAGTTGCATTGCAGCAAAGGAAAACATACAGTATGCTTGCTATCTCTTGGCACTACAGTGTAACTAGAGCCAGGGGTCCTCAAACTTTTTAAACAGAGGGCCAGTTCACTGTCCGTCAGACCATTGGAGGGCCGGACTGTGGGCCTGGGGACGAGTTGGCTGCTAAGCAGGACAGGCAGCAACGGCAAAAACACCCGGCGGGCCAGATAAATGTCCTAGGTGGGCTGCACGTGGCCCCTGGGCTGTATGAGATCTGAAATAAAGTTGGCAAAGGAAAATGGAGAGTTAATACCCTCTACTTAGTGGTAGGGTGTGGACAAATTTTACCCCAAATGAGGTTTGAGGTTTTCTTTTTGGTGTGTCATTCCCTCTCTTTAGTTCTTTAAATATGAAACTTGAGTCATGGTTTGAGGATCAACAGAAAACTCTTTAATTTCGCCCAGGGTGGTGGCTCACGTCTGTGATCCTAGCACTTTGGGAGACCGAGGTGGGTGGATTGCTTGAGCTCAGGAGTTTGAGACCAGCCTGAGCAAGAATGAGACCCCATCTTTAAAAAAATAGCTGGGCGTTGTGGCAGGCACCTGTAAGTCCCAGCTACTTGAGAGGCTGAGGCAAGAGGATCTCTTGAGCCCAGGAGTTTGGGGTTGCTGTGAGCTGTGATGCCAACCACTTTACCAAGGGCAACAAAGACTTCCCTTAGGAGTCTGAAATATCCTCCCTGCTTCCTTAACACAACTTGTTGTAAGAGTATTCTTGAGGATCCTACTCTGTGCCTCTGGTTGCCTTTACCTACCTTGGAGCCTCTACAGTGTGGCCTGGAGAAGAGGGTAGCCTTCCTTCTTCAGCAGAACTTCTTTGGTAACTTAAGTGAGTCTGTTACAGGAGACTCACTGGTAGGAAGGTGCAGGGATGTGGAGAAAATCAGGTCTACTTCTTCTTCCTCTCTGCATCCTCTTGAACTTTTGGAGATGACATCTTCAGAGTCAGAAGGCAAGACCCTGGCAAGTGACAGAGCCTCACTGCATCACCCAGGCGTGGCATCATACTTCACAGCAACCTCAAACTCTTGGGCTCAAGAAATCCTCATGCCTCAGCCTCCCGAGTAGCTAGGACTACAGGTGTGCAACACCACGCGTGTATAATTTTTCTATTTTTTAGTAGAGACAGGGTCTCCCTCTTGCTCAGGCTGGTATGAACTCCTGAGCTCAAGCAATCTGCCTGCCTAAGCCTTTCAGGGTGATTAGAGGTATGAGCCACTGTCCCTGAGCTGACAAAAGAGGATTCTTTAGAATTATTTTGCAGACCAGCCTGAGGAATGGCAAGACCCCATCTCTACTAAAAATAGAAAAACTGAGGCAATAGGATTGCTTGAGCCCAAGAACTTGAGGTTGCTGTGCTCTATAATGTCAGACACTCTAGTCAGGTCTCCAGAGTGAGGCTCTGTCTCAATAAATAAATAAATAAAGTAAAATAAATAGAATCATTTTGCTGAGTCACCTCTCTCTCTGCTAATAGTATAACCATTTTCTAGGTTGAAAGAGAATCACAAAGATTATGTGACTCATGCAGAATTGCTCAGTGGTGGCGGGGCATGGTGGGTCATGCCTGTAAAATACTAGCACTCTGGGAGGCTGGGGCCGGTGGATTGCCTGAGCTCACAGGTTCGAGACCAGCCTGAGTAAGAGTGAGACCCTGGCTGGATGCGGTGGCACAGTCCTAGCTACTTGGGAGGCTGAGACAGAAGTATCGCTTGAGTCCAAGAGTTCTGGGCTGTAGTTCTGGGCTGATTTGGTGTCTGCACTAAGTTCAGTATCAATATGGTGACCTCCCGGGAGCAGGGGGCCACCAGGTTGCCTAAGGAAGGGTAATCCAGCCCAGGTCAGAAATGGAGCAGGTCAAAACTCCTGTGCTAATCAGTAGTGGGATTGCGCCTGAGAATAGCCACTGCACTCTTGCCTGGCAACATAGTGAGACCCCCATCTCTCTAAAAAAAAAAATATATATATATAGTGAGAGACTCCTGTCGTTGTGGTAGGAGTCTGTAGTCCCAGCTACTTGGGAGGCTGAGGCAAGAGGATCTCTTGAGCCCAAGAGTTTGAGGTTGCTGTGAGCTGTGATGCCACAGTGCTCTACCAAGGGCAACAAAGTGAAATTGTCTCAAAAAAAAAAAAAAGCTGTTCAACATTGCTCAGTGGAGTCAAAGGAGAAATGGACATATAACCTAGAATTCCAGAGCCAGTTAATTTTTTTAATTTAAAGAATTGGAGGTACAATTCCTGGGGCACCTGCTCCTGTTAGAGCAGCGCAGTGACAGCTCCAGGTTGTTGCTGAAATAATTAAAGAGAGCAAGAACAAGTAAAGTTTTAGCAATGACGGAAAAGTTTATTTTGACAATCTGGATAGCAGACTGGGCCCTGTCCTAGTGACTGCAGGTGATGTGGAAAGTGCAGCCTTTTTTTTACACCCAAATTTGGGGCATATTAGCTGCTTCTTGGAAGTATCCCAGGGTCTTTGTTAACTCTGTTCTCAAAAAAGCCCACCTATGAGGTCTTAATAACAACCCACCTGCAGGATCTTAATCAGCCTCAGTCCTGTAACAGTCCAGACCAGTCTAAAATAGCCTAACTGCATCCGTTATCTGCCCTGCTTGTATCTAGTTAGCTACTTAACATTACCGCCTCATACAAAGACACACATGTCTCTTATGTCTTTTTTTTTTTTTTTTGATACAGAGTCTCACTATGTCTCCCTCAGTAGAGTGCCATAGTGTCACAGCTCACAGCAACCTCCAACTCTTGGGCTCAAGTGATTCTCTTGCCCCAGCCTCCCAAGTAGCTGGGACTACAGAGGCCCACCACAATGCCTGGCTATTTTTTTGTTGCAGTTGTGATTGTTGTTTAGCTGGCCCTGGCCAAGTTTGAACCTGCCAGCCTCAGTGTATGTGGCTGGCACTGTAACCAATGTGCTATGGGCTCTGAGCCCTTTTTCTTTTTTTTTTTAAAGACAGTCTCACTTTGTCACCCTGGGTAGTGTACTGTGGTGTCATTGTAGCTCACAACAACTTCAAACTCTAGAGTTTGATCAATCCTCTTTCCTTAGCCTCCCAAGTAGCTGTGAATACAGGAATGTGCCACTATGCCCAGCAAGTTTTTTCCTATTTTTAGTAGAGATGAAATCTGGCTCTTGCTGTTGCTCAGGCTGGTCTCAAACTCTCTGACCTCAAGCAATCTGCCTACCTCGGCCTTCCAGAGTGCTAAGATTACAGCACTCTGAGCCACCGCGCCTTTAAATTCTCATACAAGAGTCATGGGCCTAAAAACACAAGGCATCTTTGGAATTCATGTGAAACGTAAGCCAGGATGATGTGGCACTCTGGAAAC